ATATCTCGAACTATCTACTTCTTTTGTAAGGTCTGATGGCGTAGTGGGTTAAAGCATACTAGTTATGCCAGCTACTGGAAGGTATATATATATATATGCAATTGACGATCACAAAACACTGATCATTTTATGCGGAAAATCCACAGAGAATCCACACCTCATTTCATATTTCTCTGTGGATTTTCCGCATATATATATATATATATATATATATATATATATATATATATATATATATATATATATATATATATATATATATATATATATATATATATATATATATATATATATATATATATATATATATATATATATATATAAGTGCAAAAGCTTTTAGAGAAGCTGGGAAATGAAGCCTAATGTCCCGGGACGGACCATAAGAATTGTACCAGCTTCAGCTGCCTTTTAGAGACGTGTTTGTACCAGATTTTGAAAGCAAACACAAAATTGGTCCAGTTAGCACCCGTGTTGAGACTGATGCAGGGGGCTGTTCCCCCGCTGGTCACAAACTCGGCAGATATTTCACGATCGCACCGTCGATTAATTGGGGAAATGTTAAAAATGTTTGTTATAGAGCTGGGGTGAGGACTCCATGTCCGCTTCCCGCCAAAACTGACGCCATGGCGCCATTTTCAAACGTAACTCTCACGGCAGAAACTCTTGGAATGTTGGAGAGATTTAATAACAATTTTGATTCGCAGTGTCATGAGGTTTCCAAACTATCAAATATACAAATGTATTTATCAAAATAAGGCACATAGCCGGTGAAAGTATGTAGCGATTTTTATATATAGAAATCTTAACGTCAAAAAGATTTGAAAAATTGATCCATTATCCTCCCAGGAACCTCTTGGCCTGTTGACTAGTACGCCGCATTCTGTACGTTATGGCCTCTATAACTTACACATTACAAGGTGCTATGAAAAATAGCGACACACACATATCCACGTTTTCTATACATCGGCTGGTTAGGTTAGGCGGGGGTGGCTTGTGTTGTGTTGTTTGTGGTAAACGCTTTGAATTTTGTACGTTGTGGCAGATGAAGAAAACGGGCTGCTGCTGCCAGCCTTGTCCCTGCACCCCAGGGCCTGGCACCCGGGGCCTGGCACCCGGGGGACCTGGCACCGTGGGAAGCCCAGAGACTGAGCAGGGGTGACTAGTCTATCTGTAAGCCCGGTGAACCTGAAAATAATTGACAGGGAATTCGCTGATTGGCATACCAGCCTGGAGGAAATATTAGGCATTCATTAGTCTCACACATTTCCAGTATTTACCCATCACCCCAACTCCAGGCACGTCGATTGCTCCACCACACCCCCCAGCCACATCAACCTCTCCCTACAATCATCAGCGGCGTATGCGAGGCTGGCTAACAACAGAACTGGCTTTACAAACTTGTGTAAGGTTATCCTTCAGAACTTTGTATACCACACATGTAAGACCAATCCTGGAGTATGCGGCCCCAGCATGGAGCCCGTACCTTGTCAAGCACAAGACGAAGCTGGAGAAAATTTAGTGGTATGCCACTAGGCTAGTCCCAGAACTAAGAGGCATGAGCTATGAGGAAAGGTTACGTGAAATGCCCCTCACGTCGCTTGAAAATAAGAGAGTTTGGGGTGGCATGATCACCACATGCAAAATTCTCAGGGGAATTGCCAGGGTATATAAGGACAGATTATTTAACACGGGTGGTACATGTACAAGAAGGAGGGGGGGGTGTAAATGTGGAAACTGAGTACCCAAATGAGCCACAAAGACATTAAAAAGAACTTTTTCAGCAGTGTCAGAGTAGTTAACAGATGAAATACATTAGGTAGTGATGTGGTGTGACTCCATACACAGGTTCAAATGTAGATATGATAGAGCCCAGTAGGCTCAGGAACCTGTACACCAGTTGATTGACAGTTGAGAGGCGGGACCAATGAGCCAGAGCTCAACCTCCGCAAGCACAACTAGGTGAGAACAGTAGCCCCCCCCTAGTATATCACAGCCCCCCCCCCTTCACCAGGAGACACAACCGGTGCCATGTTGCCAACCAAAGTTTTGGTGGCGGCGCCGTGTAATCTGCCCCAAAAGTTTCAACACGGCCGCCTAATTGATAACCTAACCTTAAGAACGGTGCAAAGATACGCAACACGGCTCCTTCCCCAACTGTGAAGAAAGGCTGAAGGAACCGGGCTACACTGGAGGAAAGAAGACATATGGTAGACATGATAACGACGTAGAAGATCTACGGGGAACTGACCAATTAGATTGTGAAGTAAAGGTCAACGAGAGATGAACAGCAGAACGATGGGACACGATTGGAAACTGGAGACACAGACGAGTCACAGAAATCTCAGATGCAGCCCCAGAAATCTTCAATATAAGGACCTCAATATAATGCACTTCTTGCAAACTGAGATTGACAGGTTGCACTTGAGGACGACGTTAAGGGAAATGCAGTACGCATTTTGATATGGAAACATAATAGCACTAACGAATGAGATGAGATGAGTCACCTAAGACTCACCTGAGACTCACCTGAGACTCACCTGAGACTCACCTGTCATTCCAGACATTTGAGAAGTTATTGCATTACCGTTATAACACGACTGGAACATGGTCATGACACGTGAGAGAGAGAGAGAGAGAGAGAGAGAGAGAGAGAGAGAGAGAGAGAGAGAGAGAGAGAGAGAGAGAGAGAGAGAGAGAGAGAGAGAGAGAGAGAGAGAGAGAGAGAGAGAGAGAGACAGACAGACAGACAGACAGACAGACAGACAGACAGACAGACAGACAGACAGACAGACAGACAGACAGACAGACAGACAAGGTGAGAGACAGCGCCACACAGACAAGGTGAGAGACAGCGCCACACACACAACTTGACAGCTCGGCGTGCCCCCAAAGGCCTGCAGGTAATAACTCACCAAAGGCAGGAAACTCTTCAGGATTGAATTCTCTTTCTCTTTTGGCCATGGAGGAGGCGGGTGCGTTAGGCTGTAATGAGGGAGGAGGCGTAAATGAGGCTCCGGAGTGAGGAGCAGGCACCAGGGGGTGTCACCTTGCACTCTGGCACTGCCGGGGGCCGCAGGACACGGCTGGCACTCTCGTAAAGCAACCCCTTGTGGTGCCAAATGTAGTTATTGACCAGCCACTGAACTGGAAGTTAACTTTAACATCTTGGAAGCTAAGATTTCCAAATTGTTGAGGAAGAGACGGCGCCACTCTTAAGGCGACAGCTTGATCTTAGCAACACTACGGTATTTCACGCTCTAAACAAGTGTTTCAGTAGATTAATATACTCGCTAATCACTCACAACGTTAGACAAGCGATGATTCAGATCATCGAATCTGAATCGCAAGAGCCTAGTGACTCTTGCGATCCATCCATCAACTGTTCATCCACTTCAGGGATTGCAATACGTGAGACAGACTGTCACTCAACCTCCACAAATACACTAACAGACAGACAGACAGACAGTTCAAACGTCGTTCAAACTAAGACTGTGACACCACAATACATCACATTATACAATCACGATATCTTGATACAACAGGTCTCCAAGTCTTTGCATAAAACAAGAATATATCTTTGCTATCTTATAACTGTAATCTTCGTAAAATTATATTATGAATCGCCGTTCTTTGTCAAATTAATTTAACGTTGACTTGAATTTCTTAAAATAATATTTCACTGGTTTTATTAGGCGTATAATGGCCTTGTGACCAAGCAGTAGGTATATACTTTAGTTCTTAACACAGTCCAGGGGCCAGATTCACGAAGCAGTTACGCAAGCACTTACGAACGTGTACATCTTTCCTCAATCTTTGACGGCTTTGGTTACATTTATTAAACAGTTTACAAGCGTGAAAACTTGCCAATCAACTGATGTTATTGTTATAAACAGCCTCCTGGTGCTTCGGAGCTCATTAACTGTTTAATAATTGTAAACAAAGCCGCCAAAGATTGAGAAAAGATGTACAGGTTCGTAAGTGCTTGCGTACCTGCTTCGTGAATCTGGCTCCAGGACTAAACTCTCAGAGTATATATAGACCGAGAAGCCGAGGGAATCTTCCAGCAGAACCCTGGAGGGAATCTTCCAGCAGATACCTGGAAGGAATCTTCCGGCAGGCACCTGGAGAGAGTCTTCCAGCAGACACCTGGAAGGAATCTTCCAGCAGACCCCTGGAGGGAATCTTCCAGCAGATACCTGGAGGGAGTCTTCCAGCAGACACCTGGAGACAGAGTCTTCCAGCAGTCACCTGGAGGGAGTCTTCCAGCAGACACCTGCAGGGAGTCTTCCAGCAGACACCTGGAGGGAATCTTCCAGCAGACACCTGGAGACAGAGTCTTCCAGCAGTCACCTGGAGGGAGTCTTCCAGCAGACACCTGGAGACAGAGTCTTCCAGCAGTCACCTGGAGGGAGTCTTCCAGCAGACACCTGCAGGGAGTCTTCCAGCAGACACCTGGAGGGAATCTTCCAGCAGACACCTGGAGACAGAGTCTTCCAGCAGATACCTGGAGGGAGTCTTCCAGCAGACACCTGGAGACAGAGTCTTCCAGCAGACACCTGGAGGGAATCTTCCAGCAGACACCTGCAGGGAGTCTTCCAGCAGACACCTGGAGGGAATCTTCCAGCAGACACCTGGAGACAGAGTCTTCCAGCAGTCACCTGGAGGGAGTCTTCCAGCAGACACCTGGAGACAGAGTCTTCCAGCAGTCACCTTGAGGGAATCTTCCAGCAGACACCTGGAGCGAGTCTTCCAGTAGACACCTGGAGGGAGTCTTCCAGCAGACACCTGCAGGGAGTCTTCCAGCAGACACCCGGAACGAATCTTCCAGCAGACACCTGGAGGCAGTCTTTCAGTCTTCGTCGGACTATGAAAGAGAAAGCAGCTTGGAACAGCTTTGTAGCACTGGTTCGAGGCTTCGTGGGCAATTACGCAGCTCAAAAACTATTACGTAGAGGTGTTTGGGGAGTGTGACGACGAACCCCGTCACAAGGGGCAGCAGGATGTCCCTCAAGGTCCATATCTTCGATGCCCATCTTGACAAGTTGAAGGAGAAGATGGACGAGTACTCGGAGGAAGGACAAGGTTGACCACCTTTTAGGTTTAGGTACCAGGGTGTTAGTCAGCTGTCACGGGCTGCTTCCTGGGGGGTGGAGGCCTGGTCGAAGACCGGGCCGCGGGGACACTAAAAGCCCCGAAATCATCTCAAGATAACCTTGTGGGATCTTGTGGGATCTCAGGTGACCTTGTGGGACCTCTGGAAACCTTGTGGGGCCTCAGGTGACCTTGTGGGACCTCTGGAAACCTTGTGGGACCTCTGGTGACCTTGTGGGACCTCCTGTGACCTTGTGGGACCTCAGGTGACCTTGTAGGACCTCAGGAGATCTTGTGGGACTTCAGGGGACCTTGTGGGACCTGAGGGGACCTTGCGGGACCTCAGGGGACCTTGTGGGACCTCATGTGACCTTGCGGGACCTCAGGTGACCTTATGGGACCTCAGGGGACCTTGTGGGACCTCCGGGGACTTTGAGGGACCTCCGGGGACCTTGTGGGACCTCCGGTGACCTTGTAGGACCTCAGATGACCTTGCGGGACCTCAGGGGACCTTGTGGGACCTCCGGGGACTTTGAGGGACCTCCGGGGACCTTGTGGGACCTCCGGTGACCTTGTAGGACCTCAGATGACCTTGCGGGACCTCAGGGGACCTTGCGAGACCTCGTGTAGAAGGATATCTCTAGAACAGTGACTCATTTCCCATGTAATAAAACCCGCGAATAGGATTATTGGTCGCGACGTCAGCCACTAAGACACAGAGACCCCAGCCTTGAGAGAGCCAATTGAAATGCCTCAGCATGGACGTGTGTAGATGATTGGTCGACAACACAATGTCTGGAATACACCGCCTGGAACACACCGCCTGGAACACACCGCCTGGAACACACCGCCAGGAACACAATGCCTGGAACACAATGCCTGGAACACAATGCCTGGAATACACCGCCTGGAACACAATGCCTGGAACACAATGCCTGGAACACACCGCCTGGAACACAATGCTTGGAACACAATGCCTGGAACACAATGCCTGGAACACAATGCCTGGAACACACAGCCTGGAACACGCCGCCTGGAACACACCGCCTGGAACACACCGCCTGGAACACACACCACCTGGAACACACACCGCCTGGAACACACACCGCCTGGAACACACACCGCCTGGAACACACACCACCTGGAACACACCACCTGGAACACAATACCTGGAACAAAACCACCTGGAACACAATACCTGGAACACACCGCCTGGAACACACACCGCCTGGAACACACCACCTGGAACACACACCTGGAACACACCGCCTGGAACACACACCGCCTGGAACACACCACCTGGAACACACACCTGGAATACACCGCCTGGAACACACACTGCCTGGAACACACACCGCCTGGAACACACACCGCCTGGAACACACACCACCTGGAACACACCACCTGGAACACAATACCTGGAACAAAACCACCTGGAACACAATACCTGGAACACACCGCCTGGAACACACACCGCCTGGAACACACCACCTGGAACACACACCTGGAACACACCGCCTGGAACACACACCGCCTGGAACACACCACCTGGAACACACACCTGGAATACACCGCCTGGAACACACACTGCCTGGAACACACACCGCCTGGAACACACACCGCCTGGAACACACACCACCTGGAACACACCACCTGGAACACAATACCTGGAACACACCGCCTGGAACACACACCGCCTGGAACACACCACCTGGAACACACACCTGGAGCACACCACCTGGAACACACACCGCCTGGAACACACCGCCTTTAACACACCACCTGGAACACAATGCCTGGAACACAATGCCTGGAACACACCGCCTGGAACACACCGCCTGGAACACACCACCTGGAACACACCATCTGAAACACATCACATGGAACACACCGCCTGGAACACACCACCTGGAACACACCATCTGGAACACACCACCTGGAACACACCACCTGGAACACACCGCCTGGAACACACCGCCTGGAACACACCGCCTGGAACACACTACCTGGAACACACCACCTGGAACACACCACCTGGAACACACCACCTGCAACACACCGCCTGGAACACACCACCTGGAACACAATGCCTGGAACACAATGCCGGGAACACACCGCCTGGAACACACCGCCTGGAACACACCGCCTGGAACACACCCCCTGGAACACACACCACCAGGAACACACCACCTGGAACACACCACCTGGAACACACCACCTGGAACACAATGCCTTGAACACACTACCTGGAACACAATGCCTGGAACACAATGCCGGGAACACACCGCCTGGAACACATCACCTGGAACACATCACCTGGAACACACCACCTGGAACACACCACCTGGAACACACACCACCTGGAACACACACCACCTGGAACACACACCACCTGGAACACACCACCTGGAACACACCATTTGGAACACACCACCTGGAACACACTACCTGGAACACACACCACCTGGAACACACCACCTGGAACACACCGCCTGGAACACACCACCTGGAACACACTACCTGGAACACACCACCAGGAACACACACCACCTGGAACACACCACCTGGAACACACACAGCCTGGAACACACACCGTCTGGAACACACATCACCTGGAACACACCGCCTGGAACACACACCGCCTGGAACACACCGCCTGGAACACACCACCTGGAACACACACCACCAGGAACACACCGCCTGGAACACACTACCTGGAACACACTACCTGGAACACACTACCTGGAACACACCGCCTGGAACACACTACCTGGAACACACTACCTGGAACACACCACCAGGAACACACACCACCTGGAACACACACCACCTGGAACACACCGCCTGGAACACACACCGCCTGGAACACACCGCCTGGAACACACCGCCTGGAACACACCACCTGGAACACACACCACCTGGAACACACCGCCTGGAACACACACCGCCTGGAACACACCGCCTGGAACACACACCACCTGGAACACACCGCCTGGAACACACTACCTGGAACACACTACCTGGAACACACCACCTGGAACACACCACCAGGAACACACACCACCTGGAACACACCGCCTGGAACACACACCGCCTGGAACACACCGCCTGGAACACACCGCCTGGAACACACCACCTGGAACACACACCACCTGGAACACACCACCAGGAACACACACCACCTGGAACACACATCACCTGGAACACACCACCTGGAACACACACCACCTGGAACACACACCACCAGGAACACAATGCCTGGAACACAATGCCTGGAACACAATGCCTGGAACACACCGCCTGGAACACACCACCTGGAACACACACCGCCTGGAACACACACCGCCTGGAACACACACCACCAGGAACACACACCACCAGGAACACAATGCCTGGAACACACCGCCTGGAACACACCACCTGGAACACACACCTCCTGGAACACACACCACCAGGAACACAATGCCTGGAACACACCGCCTGGAACACACCACCTGGAACACACACCGCCTGGAACACACCACCAGGAACACACACCACCAGGAACACACACCGCCTGGAACACACCACCTGGAACACACCATCTGGAACACACCACCTGGAACACACCACCTGGAACACACCGCCTGGAACACACCGCCTGGAACACACCGCCTGGAACACACTACCTGGAACACACCACCTGGAACACACCACCTGGAACACACCACCTGGAACACACCGCCTGGAACACACCACCTGGAACACAATGCCTGGAACACAATGCCGGGAACACACCGCCTGGAACACACCGCCTGGAACACACCGCCTGGAACACACCACCTGGAACACACACCACCAGGAACACACCACCTGGAACACACCATCTGGAACACACCACCTGGAACACAATGCCTTGAACACACTACCTGGAACACAATGCCTGGAACACAATGCCGGGAACACACCGCCTGGAACACATCACCTGGAACACATCACCTGGAACACACCACCTGGAACACACCACCTGGAACACACACCACCTGGAACACACACCACCTGGAACACACACCACCTGGAACACACCACCTGGAACACACCACTTGGAACACACCACCTGGAACACACTACCTGGAACACACACCACCTGGAACACACCACCTGGAACACACCGCCTGGAACACACCACCTGGAACACACTACCTGGAACACACCACCAGGAACACACACCACCTGGAACACACCACCTGGAACACACACAGCCTGGAACACACTACCTGGAACACACCACCAGGAACACACACCGCCTGGAACACACATCACCTGGAACACACCGCCTGGAACACACACCGCCTGGAACACACCGCCTGGAACACACCACCTGGAACACACACCACCAGGAACACACCGCCTGGAACACACTACCTGGAACACACTACCTGGAACACACTACCTGGAACACATCGCCTGGAACACACTACCTGGAACACACTACCTGGAACACACCACCAGGAACACACACCACCTGGAACACACACCACCTGGAACACACCGCCTGGAACACACACCGCCTGGAACACACCGCCTGGAACACACCGCCTGGAACACACCACCTGGAACACTAAACAACCCAGACCACCTCACGCACAACTTAACTACACCGCCTCGCCCCCTAACTACTCCAACAAGCCACGCACAACTGAACTACACCGCCTCGCCCCCTAACTACTCCAACAAGCCACGCACAACTTAACTACACCGCCTCGCCCCCTAACTACTCCAACAAGCCACGCACAACTTAACTACACCGCCTCGCCCCCTAACTACTCCAACAAGCCACGCACAACTTAACTACACCGCCTCGCCCCCTAACTACTCCAACAAGCCCATAAGGAAAGCCAACGGAACATTTGGTCTAATGTTACCTTTAATATTCTTGTAAACTACAATTATTCGTTAATATCTGGCGGCTACGGTGATGACTGTGCCTTAATGGGGGGGGGGTGTACGGT